CTTGTGCCTGTCCTTGAGCGGATCCCACGTTAGCCCCAAGTCCCGACATCGTGGTTCGTAGCCACGTGCTCTAATCCTCTGAGCTACAGGTCCCACCCCGTCTCCACTGGATCTGTTCCTGGGAGTACCCTCAAATTGCATTTGGGGATTTCTCTTCAAAAGATGAACAAAAAATAATTGATTTCTAATGGATAGATCAATAAACTATGGTAAAAAGAAATAGTCAATTCAGAGAAACTGAGTTAAAATTAAAAAGTGAAATCATTATAAACATAAAAAAGTCAGTGTACATAGAGGAGAAAAAAATTAGTTGTGATAACGTTCATATTTTATTAAATAAGAGAAATTTATCGTTATTTACGCTCAACTGTATAACTTTAATTAAAACTTTTAAAATATTTTATTAATAATAATTACATAAAATATATATGACATATAATACTTAAAATTGAGATTTTATTATTTTGGAGGCCTAAGGCAATGTCTTCTGTGATAAATAGTACTAGTAACTGATGACTTAATAAAAATGACTATTGGAAAGCAAAATAAATCACTCGAAACTGGACAGCAGAATGAAGCAACGTAAAAAAAGTGAATGTTGGCCTAGAATAACATATTACACTGTCGAACATGTTGTCCGTTCCTTTTGTTTTTATTTTATATATAGGGGGCATCATTTCCTTTATCTTTTCCAAGTAATATATTATTACACACTACACCAAATCAAAAGACAGCAACAGTTTAAATTAACTGGAAATATATCCAGTAAAATTGGTAAAGTGGCCATTAAAATTAACGTACCATATTGTACTTGGAAAGATTGGATATGTGTAACTGAATAAATAAACAAAAGCTGTTCGACGTAAATCAGGTGTACTTTTTTTCTTTGCTTTTTCTATAGTTGAATCTTTTGAGCAACGACATTTGCTAAAAGACATGTTAAAAAAGAGCCTTGAGGTGAAATCTCTCTGGACATTGCAATTATTGGTTCATGAGAAAGTTCACTAAAATAAAATTGAATATTCACACAATGATTTTGTCAGCCTTTTTTTACATCAAAAGATAGGGTAATTTGGCTATCAAAAGCGAATGATGACACCAACTTCTTCCAAAAGGAGCATATATAAAAAAAAGTTTTATACGCTGCAGAGTAAAGAAATTTTCAGGTTTTATATCAAGTTTGGTATAAAGAAGAAGAATTAACTTAAATAGTCACTTACCTAACTACTTAAATTAAAAATAACCGATAAATATATAATATATATATAATTCATGTATAATATGCATATAATCATATATAATTAATGTATAATCTATGTATACTGGCTAGATAAAATAAATAGTGAATCCAACCGGCTATTTGTGTAAAAACCCCTATAAAAAATTATAAAATAGCACGGACTAGCTAGTTTTCGGACTGGTCATTCAAAAATAGGCAGCGTTTACAAAGTCATTGAGAAATAGTCACTATTTTGCTGCAACAGGGAAAGTTCCAGCATAATATACTGGAGATCGGTGCACCTATGTATGAACTTCCAGCATATTATGCTGGAATTCCAACACGTGGAAAGTTCCAACATAATATACTGGAGATCGGAGCACATGTGTATGAACTTCCAGCATATTATGCTGGACCGGTATATTATACTGGAACTCCAGCATATTATGTTGGAAGTCCAGTATATTATACTGGAACTCCAGTATATTATACTGGAGTATTTTCTGGATTTTGAACAGTGTTTTCGTTCAGATTTATCTTTACATGAAAAGTTGCTAAATTTCGATTACTTTTGAAACTGTAGCTATTTTTGAATGACCACTTATAAATCTGGCTATTTTTTTTAATTTTCCCCTAAAAAATTGCATGTTATTGTAATCGTGTAAAAGGCCATTTATAATATTAGTGCATAAAAATAAAATGATTTTCTGAAAAAAACATTTTTATATCTCTTTTATTCATTGTGTGTCCTAAAGTTTAGAAAGGATGACAAAAAAGAGAAATAAGAACTGAATATTGAGAAGATTTGTTCTCGCAAGAAGTTGAGAAATATAGAGAAGTCCATATAGGTTAAAGAAGAAAGCTACAAATTAAATAAAGCTTACCTATACGACCCTATGATGTGAAAATCATGCTTTCTTTGAAAAAGAACTTTGTACTTTCTAATTTTTAAGTTAGTGAATGCAAATTGTACGAACGGAAAAGGGCAAATATATTCGTGTATTATCAGAAAAAGTTTAAATGTATCCTTCGTTATACTTTGAGTTCATATATGCCCCCGTCGTTATACTAGTAGTTTAAATACACTTCTTTTCCGTTAAGTTTGCCTTACACTACTAGAAATTCGGCAAAAACCGACCAAGAAAAACCGACAAACTTTGGTCGGTGAAAAAACCGGCCAAAAACCAACCAAAGTTGGTCGGTTTTTTAAAATATTTTAATTTTTAATTTTTTTTTACGAAACCGACCAACTTTGGTCGGTTTTCTTTGGCGCAAAAATGCGGGAAACTATTTTTGAGTCCTGCGAAATTTATTTTTCAAGAAAGCGACCAACTTTGGCCGGTTTATGCAATTAAAAGAAATAAATATTTATATTAAAAAAATCGACCAACTTTGGTCGATAAATTCGGCCGGTCATTTTAAAAAACCGATCAACTTTGGTCGGTTATTTTATTTTTTAATAAAACCAATCAACTTTGGTCGGTTATTTTCGTGCGAAAATACAACTAAAGAGTATAAATAAAAAAAAAGACAATCTTAAAACAAAAGCACCAATGGTCTAGTGGTAGAATAGTATCCTGCCACAGTACACACCCCGGTTCAATTCCCAAACGGTGAATCTTTTGATTACATAATTAAAATACCAACCAACTTTGATCGGTTTTTTTTTGTTTTTTTGAATTTAATTTACCGACCAACGTTGGTCGGTAATTTCCGACCAACTTTGGTCGGTATATTAAAACGACCATCAAAATACCGTCCAAGCGCATTTGGTCATGTTTTGGTCGGTAATTGACCATAACCGATCAAAGTTGGTCGATATTTACCGGATTTCTAGTAGTGCTAAATGAACATCCAATCCTACATGACACTGACATTTGATTACGTGGATGCCACATGGCTTGCCATCTCAGCGCCCTTTACCCATTTTACCACTCCCTTCTATTTTTTTTTTTCCACCACTAAAATTTTCTTTCCCTCCACCACTATTGTCACCATTACCGCAACCATAAAAGATATTGTATTTCAAATTTTAGTCTTTTATATATGGATTAGTGGCGCTAAGATGGCATGCCATGTGACATCCACCTCATCAAATATCAGTGCTACGTAGGATTGGATGCTCACCTTGGACAAACTTAATAGAAGAAGGATATATTTGAACCAATAGTATTACGGCATGGATATATTTGGACCCAAAGTATAAAGAAAGGTATATTTAAATTTTTTCTCATAGTACATAAATATATTTGATCCTTTGCCGTTGTACGAAAGGGTCAAATATTATTAATAAGAAGCCCTTGATCTTTGATTAATAATATACTTGTGGATATGAAATGACTCAAAAGCAATTGAAGAAGTAGAATTTTTTTAATTGTTGAGTACCGCTCCTTACAAATATTTTTAGGTTGATCTATTGACTCACACACAAACAAAAAAAAAATGACAGAAGGAAAAGTAACTGATTTACATTGCAGATTCTACATCATCTCTCTAAGAATACACTTTTGTTCACATAACTATGCCTTCCATATATCCTCCCATGTGCTAGCACGTGGAATTCTTTTTTTATAATGGGTGACGATAAGACACGACCTCAAAGCCTTTGCCTGCTTTTATACTATTTTTAATTGTTATTTACTTAATTATGATTTTAACATGAAAAAGGAGGTACAGTGTTTTTGAGGCAAGTAGCAACTCAAATTTATACTTCAGCTGTAATGATCTTTTAGGGAAAATAATACTGCATAGCCGCTCTATATATGTTAGAACTTGGAGCACTTGTGTATGAATTTCCAGCATATTATGCTGGACTGGTATATACTGGAACTCCAGTATATTAATATACTGGAACTCCAGTATAATATACTGGAGTTCCAGTATATTATGCTGTAATATTTTCCAGATTTTGAACAGTGTTTACGTTCAGATTTATCTTGACATGAAAAGTGGCTAAATTTCGATTACTTTTAAAACTTTAGCTATTTTTCAATGACCACTTGTAAATTGGCTATTTTTTAATTTCTCCCTGTAATACAGGATTCGAGCCCATTACTTACGTTTAGCTAATTGGGCCATGGACTATGGTATCATTTGGGTTCACAACTTGGGCTACTTTCAATAATCCTAAAAGATCAAGAATTGTTCACCAATGCTAACTTTGTAAAAATCTCATAAAAAAGGGCAATCCAGTGCACAATCATCCACATTCAGGTATGGTCCGGGGAATGACCATACCTGAGGGGTGTGATATAGATAGCCTACTCTAATGCAAGCATTAGTAGCTACTTTCAATGGCACGAACCCGTGACCTATACGTCACACATAAATAACTTTATTGTTGCTCCAAGACTCTTTTTATTTTTTTTATTTATTTGTAAAAAGATACATTTCTTGATTTATGATACTTCTCTGGCCAACTTATGTATATTCTTTAGATTTTGAGATATTTTAGAATGTTTATCACTCGTGTATCAACTTTTACAATTTTCAAGAATTTAAATTCATCTAGATATTCATACGTTAAACATTATACAATGTTTTCTCTATCAATGTATAAATTTTTTACACTCTTAAATTTTCCTTATCAACGTGTAGCATTGATCAAACTAACAGTGTAAAAGTTAAACAATGTTAGTTTTCAGACTTTGCTTAATTCTTTCAAAACCACTATTGTGATTGAGATTCAAGAATCCATTTTTAGCATGCTTATTACTTAAAAATTGCCCCAAATAATTATGTGCCTTAATCAAACACTGTAAAATTCATTAATTGCTTCAGCTTGATAATATCCTGCTGTATTATGCATCACAACATTGACTTAATATACTCAAACATCTTTTTTCTTTTTGAGGAATAGAAAGAGTAAGTATGTAATACATAGTAGCTAGTAAAAAAGAGTAACCCGGTGCACTAAGCTCCCGCTATATACGGGGTCTGGGAAGGGCCAGACCACAAGTGTCTATTGTACGCAGCCTTACCCTGCATCTTTTGCAAGAGCCTGTTTCCACGGCTCGAACCTGTGATCTCCTGATCACATGACAGCAACTTCACCGGTTACGCGAAGGCTCCATTCACATAGTAGCTACTACAATCACTAAATAATAACAAGCAAAAACAATATTTCCAAGAACTTCATTTCAAGAGTCTCACTTTGCTGGATTCAGCTGTTCCAAATTCCTTATTATTTGGAACATTATGTTTACACTTAATATTTTCATATGGCTCAAATACATATAGGAAAATCTTGAACCCCACTTGAAAATTTCAAGAACCAAAATGAAATGTTCTTACATTGTTTGTCTTAGATCTTGAGTCCTACTAGTTGTTGGCAAAGAACACTTTCCACTAGTAGAGAAAGACCTCTTCATACTAATAGGAACTTTTTGTAGTGAACGCCCAAAGGAAGAACTCTTCATTACTTTATACAAACTTGAATTTTTGCTTCCTCTTTTTAACATAATATCTAAACTCCCTTTATTCCTTTCTGCAAGTTGATCATTCGAACTCGAACACCCTTCGATTTTTCCCAAATTGATCTCATTCATAGCAAGATTATGAATTACTTGAGCAGTAGAAGAATCCATTGAGACCGATCTTCGTGCTGGCTGCAGTTCGTCGTTCACTTTGACTCTATGCTCAGACAAATCGCTAAAAACACGAACCCCTTTCTTCCTTTCATCAACAACACGTGGAATTTTCATCGATAAGTCCATCGTTCTCCCCTCTTCATTATCAAGATTTTCATGATTTTCTTCTTCACTCAATTCAAGATTCTCGAGTTGATCACTTTGCCTTCCATTCTCAGCTTCGACTTCATTTGGACCAGATTCACCACCAATATTCATGATCGATACAACTTCCACAACATTACTCGCTTGAGGTACATTATCCATATTAGAAACTATAGGAGCGCGACATAACGGGCAATTCTTGTGTGATCTTAGCCAAGTATCAATACAAGGAATATGAAAAGCATGGCTACATTTTGGTAATAACCTAAGACTCTCATCTTCCTCAAATTCAGTCAAACAAACAGAACAATCACTTCCTTCAATCAAAGATTCATCTTTTTTGTACTTAAACACTGTAATTGAATCAATTATTTCTTGTGATAGTCCAATTGTGCGTATATACCAAATTGGATGATCAACCACAGGTCCAAGATTCTCATCAATAAAATCCTCTCTATTTTCATTCATTTGTTGAAGATTATTTCTCCTTGTCCTAGAATTGGACCTATATCTCTTAAGTGTAAACATGTAACAAATAAACACAAAAACAGCCCCAAGAACACAAAGCATTAAAATAAAATAAAAAGGCATGTGATATTTATCATTTGTTACATAAGGTGGTGGAGGAGGGGGAAAATAAGGACCATCACTAGGAACAAATCCAACACAATCATCAGGACAATCATCTGGTGTACAATTCAAACACACAGTATCTTTTTCTGAAAAAATTGGAGGTTTTTCTAATGGATTTGGTTTTAATATAGTAACTACTAACATCTTTCTATCAAAAATAGCCATTAAAAAAACAGAAACTAAGAAATAGAGGAACACAAAACAATACCTTGAAAATAACAAGAAGCCAAGAAGATGATGACCCTTTTTCTAGGATTATACAATACATTGGAATTTTTAACAAACTATGAAAAGTTGTATCATTCTTGAATATTATTTAGGGGAAAATAAGCAAATTGTAGTACCTCTTTTCTTGGAATTTTTTCCACTCTGCTACATCTCAGTGGACATGAGATATAGGATTACTACATAGTATTTTACTAAGATTTTCATTTGGTTTTTTGGTAAGGATGAAAGAAGAAAGAGGAAGTTTACTAGAAATTTCTTTGTTTTGGCAGATTTGTGACAAGTCAATGGACTATTATGTGCGATACGCGTTAATAAAAATTGTGGGGCCTTACATCATACAAAAATTCAAAGAAGACTATTAAAATTGGACTAAAGTGGAAAAAACAACAAAATTGATTAGTTTTTTTGTGTATATCCTTTTACACTCAAACGTAAGTATCACTTCAATGAACAAACTAATATCCAAATGAAGCTTGTGAATAGTAACATACGCAACATTTTACGTAAGCAATGTCAATATATTATATAAGGGGGTATTATCACTTTTCGCCTGTATCAGAAACTATTTATATTTGGTGGTCGAAAAAATATATAAAATTTTGTATCTTATATAATTTTAAAGCAGCTGTAAAAATAATAGTCGAAAAATATATAAAATTTGTATAATTTTGTATATAAGATACAAAATGTATATATATACAAAACATATGCAAATTTTATACATTATTTCGATTATTATTTTTACAGCTGCTATATATAGTGCCATTTTTTCTTATATAATTTGATCTACATGTAAGTTTGATTATGTATATAAATGAATCGGTCTTTTAATTTGTGTGAAATCTCAATAATTACGTGTAACAAATAAATTCTTGGACTATGGTAGGTAGGTAAACAACTTTCTTTTCCTTTTTAATTTTAGGCATGGATAATAACTTGGCTGAACTTGAAGTGTTCAAAGCTTTCAACCTCTCGTTCCGAGGCAGATTTTCAATTTCTAAATATGAGTGCATCACTTAAAAAGCGAAAAAAAGGGAAGAAATACTAAGTGAGAATTGGTCCATATTTCTTTAGATAAATAACTCAATATTTAACTAAATATATTATTAAATCTTTTTGGAGTATGTGGGCCAACATATAATATTAAATTAATTTTATAAAATATATATGTAAAATATCTAATTTGGTGAAAAGACAATGGATTCACATAAACTGTAAAAACAACCTAAATCCGCCCCTACCCATTTAAGAATGCATATATGCTTTCTCAATTTTAGAGATGAAAATAAAGGGTGAAAATAGCACGGGCTAGCTAGTTTTCGGACTGGTAATTGAAAATAGTCAGCATTTGCAAAGTCATTGAAAATAGCCACTATTTTGCTGAAACTTTCAATATACTGGAGATTGGTGCACCTGTGTATGAACTTCCAGCATATTATGCTGGAACTCCAACACACGAAAAGTTCCAGCATAATATACTGGAGATTGGAGCACCTATGTATGAACTTCCAGCATATTATGTTGGACCAGTATATTATACTGGAACTCTAGTATATATTATGCTGAAAGTCCAGTGTATTATGCTGGAACTCCAGTATATTATGCTAGAACTCCAGTATATTATATTGGAACTCCAATATATTATGCTGGAATATTTTCCAGATTTTGAATAGCAATTTCGTTTAGATTTATCTTTACATGAAAAGTGGCAATTTCGTTTATATTTAAAACTATGGCTATTTTCCAATTATCACCTGTAAATCTGGCTATTTTTGAGTTTCACCCAAATAAAGGTGCAAGTGGTTCCATTAAATGCCGCTACTAATGCAAGAGCTGCTCAAGAATTGTGGTATGAGGCCAAACTATTTTACTCTTTTTGCTCCACATTAGGGCGATGTGCACAGATAGCCACTAACAGCTTATGTCTTTATTTTAAAGCCAGCGTTTTAAATGTCTTTAGTCTTTAGCCACTGGTTTAATAAACTTTAACTGCTCGGACAAAAATATCCTTCTGCTCATGTCCTTAACTTCAGGACTACATGTCCTTAACTTTTGAACTTGAAACTCTAAGTTCAGGACTTCAGGACTACATGTCCTTAACTTTTGAACTTGGAACTCTAAGTTCAGGACTTCAAGGTTACATGTCCTTAAGTTTTGAACTTGGAACTCAAACTTCAAGACCAAGCGCATGTCCTTAAGTTTTGAACTTGAAACTATAAGTTAAGGACTGCCTGTCCTTAACTTTTGAAACTGAAACTCAAAGTTAAGGACTGCCTGTCCTTAACTTTAGAACTTGGAAATCAAAGTTAAGGACCTATTGTCCTTAAGTTTTGAACTTGTAACTGATGTCTGTCCTTAACTTTTGAACTTGAAAATTAAAGTTAAAAGATTTAAATTTGGGAGAGTCTGCGACATTATTCTTTGGCTATGAATTGAAATCATTATTTTTGTTTCTTTTATTTTGTGCTTTCCAACTGAACCATGCAAGGAGAGCAGAAGGTCTACACCCTACTTACAAAGTTCTGTTACTAACTTTTGAACCATGAATATTGAAAAGTTCTGTTAAAGAGCTTTTGTCTTTTAATGAATGCTTACAAGCGATGTGCATTAGAATGACTGTGTAGATAGGTTCCGCCACCTCAACATAATGCAACAGTTATGGAGAAGGCACGGAGAGAGAGAAGCAAGGGTTTGGGAAGAAAAGCAAGGGAAGAAAGGGTAAAAATATCTTTTCATATTAATTTTAATAGGACAGTGGCTATTTTGCTCAACAATAGAATTGCTGGATAAAAAATAAATACCACCTTAAATAGTGGCTACACCATGCCATTTCTACTCCACATTATCTGTCTCTTTAAATGAATAATACTTTACTTTTTAGAGAAAAAGACTCCATTAAAACTTGGCTTTGGCCCATCAAAAATGGTAGACGCGCAAGTCAATTAAGTGCAGAACAAGTGGTTGATTTGGTGAAATGGCTTGTATAAAGTCACCCTCATCACTTAATGTAGATGATAAAGCAAGCTTTTGATCAAGTGAATGTTATTATGTTGCTTTATTACCTTGACTTTGAGGGATGGACAGTGAACAAGTAGGTCCACTATTCAATTTATGGAAGCACACATTAAGCTTCACCATACAAAAAAATTTAAGGAAAATGGCCTTAACTTGTAACGTGTTATAGCCAATTGAAACATGATAAGTCAAATACTGAGTATTTTGAAAGAATATAATCATGGATCACTACAACTTGAAATGGAAACCAATTCGATCAGACATCTCAAAATATTAATTTGGCTGAACTTAAGAACTTATTGTATGGGTAAAAAATTATCTTAATTATGTTTACACCATATCAGCAGAGGGCTTTCAAGGGCTGCCACGTGACATCAGTATTATGTGCGATCAAACTCGCACACACAAGTATACATGGTCGTCAAGTAATAACATAGTGAGTAGAGTATCGTTCCCACGGAGACTTATGATTAACTTTTGAATGATTCAAACTCAAACAACTTATCGATTCAAGAAATTTTTCAAAAAATGCGTAAGTAATTAATTAGCTACCAAAGAAACTATCAAGCAATGAAATAACTAGAGATCGACTACAACACTTGGGAAATTTCGGATAAAAATCAGTAGGAGAGGATATTCCAGGGTCATAGGCGAGCTAACAATCTTGTTGCGTTCTTGGCCTAAACTGAGTAATTGATTTATCTGATTTATTGATTGATAGGGTTGATGTTATTCGTAAGAATCGGTCGAGTTCTTACTCGACTATTCAAGCTAACTTAATACCTATATGTCTATGGAATTAAGACTAACAAGAACACATTTACACTTCTGTATCTCAACCAAGCAAGACAATTAGGTATATTTCTATCCTAATTGTGAATCTGTTCCCTGATGCCCGGGCTCAAGAACTTGCTCTATTTAATTCTATATGCAATCTAGAATTCCCACTTCGAGTTCAACTATAGATTCGTAAGTTGTATTTCACTGTTAGCTACGCAACAAAATAATTAAGAACAAATTAAATAAATAACACAATAAGATAAAATCAAACTCGTCAATTTAAACTTCAAACATCAACATTCATGTAGCACCCATGACCCCAGAATAATAAGGTTCTTAGCCACTCAAATTCATACAATCATAAAAAATAATATTTTCAAACATAAAATCAATGAACACTAGAAGAAGAATGGAAGAATTGATTAAATTCGTGCTATTGAGTGTTTCGTACTTTTGTTCATCTCTCAAAGTAGCAGCCTCCTCCCCAAAATAGGTTTAGGTTGGCCTTTATATGAGTTGGGGGAGTCTTGGGGTCGAAATAACCGAGTTTCGGTCGAGTTTCGGTCGTAATAGGACAACTTCACGTCACCAACACCCAGGGTAGCATGGGGCGCTAGCCCTGGCGCTGGTTTTTTTAAGCATTATATTTTTGTCACAACCCAAACTGATGGGCCGCGACGGGTGCTTGAGTCCTACCTGTCAAACACCTCTAAGCATGAGATATGAACCCGAATAATATCTACTGAATTACGAAAATAACATACATGTAGGAAACCTGCCAACAAGGCATATGTACGTATACATGCAGAATACAGTGGGCGAGCCGGCAAGGCTGCTATAGGCAACTATACATCCAAAACTGAAAGCCGACAAGGCCACATACAACCCAACTAGACATACTGTCTACAGACCTATAATAGAAACATAACTGTACAAAGACGGGACTGAGCCACGTCATGCCCATATACACACACACACACACAAACGTATCGTACCAAAATCAAAAGTAGCTCCGGATCAAGTGGAGCACGCCAACTCTCGCTGATCAGGGATCCTAAGAAGGGGGATCGTCAGCTTGCCTACCTGCACCTGCGGGCATTCATGCAGGCCCCGTGAAATAGGGCGTCAGTACGAAAAATGTACTGAGTATGTAAGGCATGAAAATTAGTACATAACATAGATGAAACATGGAATAAAGAAACACATCTTTAAATCTGAATAACTTTGCAAATTCTGAAACGTTTATAATATCATGCACGTGCGTATAAATATAAATGTCGTGTCATGCATAGGTATGGGTGTACATAATATCATCAAGCCACTGAGGGCATCCCATCCTATCGTCTCGGCCACTGTGGCCGACATCATCAACATATACCAGCTGATCAGGTGGTGGTGCGTATATAACGCTGTAACCTTTTCCCATATCACATATACATATATTTACATATATACGCGTATATAACGCCATCTGGTCATGGGT